AATCACATTTACTGACTTTGAAGAATGCGCTTCACTCTTCACGGTAAATATAGGCCATATATCCTGTATTGACCGCCTCCACAGAACAGATTCATCAGTCTCGTAAAAAGAGGTTTGCAATGTTTCCATGCATTATGTACAGTTTAGACTTTTCAGTTTCCGAAATTACATTATTTTCTATCATAAACCTGGACAAAAAGTTTTTCTATGAGAATTTTCTTTTTAAATCACTGAACGGCGTTCACTGAATATGTTAATTTTTTTTGTAAACAAGGAAGTGAATCAATCAGTTTTGAAGTTCTGAACGTGAACGAGAGCAGAGAGCTGAGAATGAGTAACATGCACAGCTCGCATTCACTTACAATTGATAACAGCAATTTTCAAGGAAAGGAAGGAAAAACATTTGAATGATGCTGGAGAGATTGGTTTACAAAATTGTAAGAGAAGATCAGAAGAGGGAAGTTCAGAGGAGGAAACGAGATTGTCAGGAATTATTAGGAATTTAAAGGTACACTATGCAACCGGTGTTGATTTTCCAGCGGGGCTCCCCCCAGAGGGCGAAAGTAAAAGTGCACTGTCGTAAATATGCACAGCTGTTCTCCTGGTTTCTCCGTCAAGCCAGGCGTGGTTGTTTTGAGCTTAGCAGACAGGCGAACGCAGCTGGCGCGACAGAAGCAGCGTGTTTACATGCAAAGTCAATGGTTGACGCGCGTCAAGGCGCAGCAAAAGGTCCCGCGGCGCGTTTTGAGCAGCAGGCGCAGCGCGTCTGAGCAGCTGAAGCAGCGAGTCAGGCGCGTTTAATCATCTGACGCAGGGAGAGAGACACAGCGCTGATGATCAGAGGCTATGATCACTTCCTTAAACAGTTTATTGACGCCTAAATTAACTTAAAATGCTGAAATCTGCCGGCAGAATATGCAGTTTGGATTATTTAGATGAACCGCGAGGAGGTGACCCGGCCAGAGGATGCTGATGAAGGGATTCCTACTATCGGCGCATCCCTGGTATGTGGGGGTCTGAGCGGCTCCGACAGAAAAAATATTGAAGGCAGGATAATAATCTGAATGAACTGACGGCACTGATTACGTTTTCAGGTGTATTTTCTCACTTAAACACATATTAAAACTACTTTATTCCAAATGATCACAGCAAATATAGCTGCAAGGCAGAGAAAGGATAGTGAAGCTCCGCCCAACGCGCCTCAGACACACTTTTGCACCGCACAGCCAGAGCAGCAAAGCTGCTTCAGCCGCGCGTCAGAACTAAACTGGTACAAGCAGCAAAAATGAAGCAGCAGACGCGATTTTGCTGCTTTTGCTGTGTGAACGTAGCATAACTGCACAAAGATCGCCACTGTGCTAGCAACGAGAATGCTTTTAACTGGGGGGTGTAGCAGTTCTCGCCGTAAAGCAAGACTGACTCTCGCGAGACTTCTGAGCCTGTGGGTGCGGGTCGGTGCTCCTGCAGTTGCAAGTGCAGTATTTCCCCTACAGACCACCAGGGCGGCCGAGAATACCTTTGTTCAACCTGAAATGACTCATTTAATCATCCATAACGTTATGGAACACATTAATTAACTGAAAAATGTTGCATAGTGTGCCTTTAATGTAATACTTAAATTCAGGAAGGAAGATGTGAACATAAATTTAAGTCTGATAGCAGTTTATAGAGAAATAAAAAAGAAGGGGAAGTGGAGTTTGTAAAATTCTTGTGAGATGAAATAATTTTGATAAAATGTAAAACAAAAGAATAAAAGTATGCAGATTAATAACATTCGAATATTACGTGAGTTAAAGTTGTTGGAGTATTGCGTGGTGTACTCACTGGTATTGCTCTCCAAGATTTAGAAAAACTTAAAGGAAACATGAATGGTGGTGAAGTGCAGAGATTGAAAAGATTGTTAAAATCTGTGGATGGGTAAAAAATGGAGAGTCTCTCGGTACTTCTGGAGTTACGAGGTGGTGTTCTTCATGATACTCATCCCCGTGGGGAGCAGTGGGCTGCCATTGTGCATCACCAGGGGAGCAGTGTGGGCTTAAATGTCTTTGCTTAGAGACCCAGATTAGCAGGCTGTGATGAATGTCGAGCAGATGTACAGATGAAATGTTACAACAGTGGCGGTCAGCGTAATGTAGCAAATGGAGGTGGTGAAGTAAAGAAAAAGGCAGCAGAATAGTTAAAAACATGACTGACGCCGAAGCAGCAAAAAGTTTAAGAAAAAAGAAAAGTTCAGAAAAGTCAAGTGTCTTCTAGTCCGAGTCCTGGGCCCAGTCAGTAAACACTGGATAGAAAAACCATTGTTTTTCCTTAATAACAGAGAAGGGACGAGGATTAATATTAGAATTCGAACAGCGTCAGATTAAACTTTAGCTTCAGAAGATTTTGCCGGAATTACTAATTGGAAAATATTAAGTGAATCAGCAATAGGAAGAGATCATTATCCTCATTGACCTTGGTTTAGAGATGGGAAAATTGAAAATGAGAACCTAGAATGATGGATTTTTGGAGATATTGATTGGGAAAAATATAAAATACTAAGTGATTAAGAAATTCAAAAGGTCAATATAAATTTGGATGTTGAGAAGGTATTTTTTTGTGAAGCCATGTCAGGTGCTGCACGTGAAACAATAGAAAAATATAAATATATAAAGATGATGGTGGACAATCGAATCTGATGTTGCTATTCAATCTAGAAATGAAGCTTTTAGATTGTTAAGAGAGATATCTGAATTTTATTGAATATAAAAGGTCACAGGCTCTTGTTAAAAGAACAGTAACAAATCCAAACAAGGGTTTATTGGTGAAGATTTATTAATTCAGTAGGTAGGGAAACAAACATAAAAAAAAAATAGATCAAAGGAGCAAATGAATGGAATTAAGAGAATATGGATATCCAGTTCTGAAAGAAGGAAATGTTATTGCTTTGACTGAGGAGGAAAAGGCAAACATGTTGGTTAAAAAAAGTGTATTCATTTATTTACAGAAGAAAAACAAAGAAGAGCTTGTACAATGAATGAAAATGTTAATTTAGTAGACAAAAATGTAAGTTTTAATGACTTATTAAATGGTCATTTTCCTTATTTGAATTAAATCATGCTTTAAGAAAATCAAAACATTAATTTCCAGGAAAAGATAATATTAATTATACTATGGTTAATATGCTTAGTAATGCATCCAAAAGGGTTTTATTGGAATCTATAATAAGATATGGGAAGTGATTTTTTTTTTAACTTATGGCATGGAAATAAGCGATCATAGTTCCAAGCTTAAAGCCAAATAAAGAGCGTTCCAATCCAGCAAGTTATAGGCTTATTGCTTTAATTCCACATGTTAAATAATTGAGAGAAAGATTAATTGAAGACTAAGCTATATGGTTTAAAAAAGGTGGAAGCTCAATGGATCCTATTCTATGTTTTGAACATGAAATTATAAAAGTGCAATTTAATAAGGAGAGTGCGGTGGCTTATCTCTGTGATGTAGAAAAAGCTTATGATATGATGTGTAAAGAAGGTTTTTCAATTAAACAAAAAAAAAAGGGAATTAAAGGACCAATGTTTTATTGGATAAAATATTTCTTACAAGATGGATTAATAAAAGTAAGAATAGGACAACATTTGTCAGAAAAGTTTTTTGTTGAAAATGTTAGACCACAGGGAAGTATAGTGAGTCCTTAGTTTTTTTTACATTATGATTTATGATATGTTTGACAATTTCAAGAGTGGAATGGGGTTTTCTTTATTTATATATATCTAAGAAGCAATTAATTATATAAGTTTAATAATTTAATTTATTGATCTCACATTAGAGAATTTTACCTCTGCAGAGTTTTATGAACAAACAAAGGAAGACTCTGGGGGGAAAAAAGCTCACATTTTTGTGCAAAATTCACTAACAAGTTTGTACTGAACTGAACTTTGAACTAGTTCTTTTTAACTATGAACTGGCTCAGCATTGAAGACAGATTCGTTAAAGGTTGCACATCATGAACCTGTGTTGTGGTGGTGCTTGGAGGGTTAGCTTACAAAACAGTACGTGTGTGTGTGGTTGGGGGGGGGATCATTTGTGTGTTCATCAGAGTTGGTTATGATCAGAGCTTACCTAAGCCTGCGGACAAAGAGAAGCCACCTGCTGATGACTCAGCAGGGTTTTGTGAGCCTGGACCGTGCCAGCTTCTGTTTGTGCTGATGCTGTAAAAACAACCTAAAAACACAAAGGAGGCAAAGCCATTGCCCCACACACCCCCACTCCACCCCCCACCCCTAGCTGTCAAAAAGAGTATTTTGTCTGAAAAAGGCTCTCAATGAGAAACATCAGGCTAGGAGCAATGGTGACTGTCAAATATCACATCGAGCTATTGAGCGCCCCCTTGTGGCTCCTGTGTTGAACGAGGCCATCAAAGCCGGGTGACAGCAGCAAGAATAATAAAGATACACAGCTCATTTAGTCAGCTGAATATGAAGTCATTTAAAATAATTAGGCTTTTGGTTTTTAATAATGAACACATCTTTAAACATATTTTGAATGTGGTGCATCAGGTTTCAACAATAGAACTTGGACTATAAATCTTTTTTTGTCTCTGTTTAGAAAACCTACTCGTGGCTGCGATGTAGTGCTCACAAACAAGAAGAAATACAATTTTTATTTAGAAGAAATAATTAAATATATCTGAAAAAGACAGTTAAATTAAATTTAAAGACTGAAGCCCATTAAGACAGACAGACAGACAGACAGACAGACAGACAGAAAGACAGTCAGACAGACAGACAGACAGAGTGCCACTGGAAGTATTTGTGAACAGAGGGTGCTGTAAAAATGTTTTTTTTGTTTTTTTTGGACAAAAGGCCTATGAACTACGGTTACCAGACGTCCCTGATTTCCTGGGAAAGTCCCCATTTTGGACCACCTGTCCCCGGCTAAAGCTGCCCCATGAAATGTCCCTGATTTTACCGTTTTATGAATGTTGTGTGTAGACTGTTATTACGGTAGAAAGATGCCATTTCTCATTTCACAAGAACTGAGTACGGACTGGTGTCCTCGCCAAGTATGTTCTTGAGAAGAACACTTAAAGTATGGACCTGGGGAGAACGGGAGCACACAGCATAAATATGAGTCACGTGACAGAAGCGTACTTGTGACGTTGGCTTGGCTAGTCTACAGCTGCATTTCACCTCCTGTTATTAATAGTCTCTAGATATTCATAAACTCTTACTTTTTTCATTTATTGGGGGAATAATAGTTAATACAGTCCGATAAACACCAATCAAATGAACATTTTGCCAAATAAAACAAAAAAATCACCATCAGAGCCAGCGGTACTTCTTACGTGGCTATGCCGAGAAAGGGCTGCAGTTAGCCTCGGACGCCCGCTGGTTGCCACTGCCCTCTTACCTTCGGAATAAAAAATTTAAATTACGCACTAAATAAGTAAATTTGCCATATAGTGACACTTAAAAATATGATGTTCTTGCCTCAACTGATCTTAAAACATACATTTATTGAACAGCGGCAACAGAAAAGAGATCTTTGAGCTCACCATTCTAAGCTGCTCCTGCTGCAATGCATGCTGGGACAGCTGTCAATCTGGAGAACGGACTAGTTTTTTCTTATGCATGCTGGATAAAGAGGGAGCTGTGAGAAAACACCATTCGGGGAATGTGTCCGTTCTTGTTCTTCTTGTTTTTGTGAATTAGAACAGTACTCGGACTGAGGCTGACGACGTTTCACGAGGACACGAGCACATGAGAACGCATAAGTACACATATTGAGAAACGGCCAGAGTGTGTGAGCAGCCTGCACGCTGAAGCAGCTGTTAGCTAGCTGGTTGGCAGCTGTTAACGTGTAGATGAGGAAGACAGGGCATCACTTTTAAAACAGAGAAGGAAGTTAGTTATCAGAACGGGTCACAGCTGCCCTGTTATGGTGAGGGTGTTAATTGGTTAATTGGATTTGAATTGAGCTGATCATTGTGAGTGGTTCATGCATAGGTTAGTAAAAAAAAGGTCTTTGATGTGTTTGTATTTTTAAAGAAATTTAACATAAACCAAGCTAATCAACAAAATGTAAGACAGACCATTGGCTGCAGCTGGCCTGAGTAAATAGGCTCAGATAAAATGAAACAGAATGATTGAAAACTCCTTGCAAGGGCACTAATCTGGTACGGCGCTTCTCCAGGGATCAACGAGGGTTCACCTAAAGATGCTTTTAGAACTGAATGGGAAGCTTTAGTTTATCTTAGAATTAGAAATCAAATTTATTACCATTAAACTGTCACACAGCAACAAAATTCCCTCTCTGCATTTAACCCATCTGTTAAAATCTGAGTCTCTCAGTACTTCTGGAGTTACTAGGTGGTTTTCTTCATGATACTCATCCCCATTGTGCGGGGCCTGGGGAGCAGTATGGGGATTTAGGGTCTTGCTCAGGGAGCCAGAGTGGCAGTCTGTGGGAGTGGGGCTTGAACTCTGCACCTCTGGGATCCAATAGCAATGCCCTAACCAAGGCCTCCACTGCCCACTCCCCACCACTCCTCATCTTCAGAGAGTTATTAGTTGTTTTGTTGTTGTTGTTTTATGGTTGTGCTTTACGGGCATAGACTTCCAGGCTTAAGTCTACCTTTCTACCACTCAGTTTGGATAAATGAAAGTTACTAATTGTAGAAAATAAGAAGCAGTAAAAGGAAAACAGAATGAGACAAGAGCTGCCTGATAGAAGAGGAGAGAAGAAGATTAGAAAACTGATGATATAATGAGAGCAGAGGAAATAGGAACACTGACAGAACAGTTTAAGAGAAGGAAGGAAAGTCTACTTAGAAACTTTAAACAAAGAGTAGGGAAGAGAGCCAGAAAGAAAAGAAGATAGAGAGGGAAGAAGACGGAGAAGACTAAATTACCAGATGACACTAACGATCGGTTGATTAATTTAATTATTTTAGGAAATATCAGGGGCCTGTTTCAATAAGGAAGTTCAACCAACTCTGAGTTAAAACTTGAACTCTGAGTTGACTTATCCTGAGATTGGAAACTCTGAGTTTTGGGTTTCAGAACAGCTGAAATGAGTTAGTTCAATCAATGCGTAAGTTTACATTTTAATTACTTTTATACAGTGTTGGGTGTAATGAATTAAGTTACTTAAGTCATATAAATACTGTAATTAAATTAAATTAAATTTTTGATTTGAACTTTCTCCCTCTAGTTACACACTTTGGTCAATTTAAGATTAATTCATGCAATTGAATATTGTTTATTTGAAAGCATTAGGAGTGCAGTTTCTTGTCTCTCCTTCTATTGGTCAAGTGGTTGAGGTTGATTTGGGATTTAGAAAGTAATTAATAAGTAAGTAAAACAAATTAGTAAGTAGACCAATACTTTCTAGAGACAGTAATTATTACATTAATCTAATTAGACTTGTTGAAGATAAAATTTGTAGTTAGTAATTAAGAACTATTTTAGAGTAACTTACCCAACTGTTATAATATCAGAGGTGAAACTGGAAGAAAAGTATTTTATTAAACCTAATTTAGTTTTCATGGATAGGTGCAATCCTGCAGGCATCAAAAGAACATGGCAGCAGCTGAAAATGAAATATAAAAACATACTTCAAGCAGGTAAGCCTTGATCACATCATGGGAGTAGAGTAGCTACCTGGCTTTACAAACATTTGACATATTAAATGACTAAATGGCATTCAGTGTCTAGCAGTGCAGCAGCATTTTTGACATAGGTCTAAATGTTCATTCTTAACTTCTACTCAGCCAACAGAAAGAAGGCAGAGGCTCGTAAAACAGGGGGAGGACCTGCACCACCCCCCCTGACAAATGCAGAAGAGATGGCCCTGAGCCTAAATGCTGGAAGGCCAATGGCTGAGGGAATTCCTGGAGGGACTTCATCAGAGCCAGTCACTCCAGAAGATTTAAGTGCCTTCATAAAATGTAAGAGGTCTACCTACAGTGTTATTTTTTTATGTAGACTAAATGTGATATTTTCATTTATATTACTTTGGGTTGGGTTTTTTGTTGGTCCCAACAGAGTCGGATGGTAATATCTACCTCTTGGAGCCTCCTGTCCCAACAGTGAATGATCTTGACAGTGCAAAGAATGAGAGATGTTACAGTATTGTGGTGTAGTCTTTGACCATTAGAAACAGTAGGCTGTCAGTGTACCTGCACATTAATACTGTGGATGGATCTCCTGTTCACATAGTCTGCTTCATTTTCAGAAGGTGCAATGATCGGAATATGTGTGCCATCAATGCATCCAACCACATTCGGAAATCCTAAAGGGAATTCTAATTATTAGGTTACTTCCAGGGGTCACAGCAAGATATTCTTAACTGAATGTAATTTATCAGGTTAGCCTCATTTAAACCGATTTATACACCACTGACCTGCAATCCTGTGATACTCCGCTTTGATGACTCTCACTGGTTTGTGCCCAGGTAACAATACAAAAATTCTCAGAAAGCGCTTAAGAGTGAGGCACACTTTCCTTACCGCTCTGCAAACAGTAGCCTTACTAATATGTTCAGCATCCCCGATGTTATAAAAAAAACTTCCATTCGCAAAGAAACGTAAGGCAACGGAAAGAATCTGCTCGGATGTAAGAGCACGGCCACGATGGTTGATGTTTCTGATGTAAGGATGGATGAGATTATGGATGTATCTTATTGACTGTAAAGAAAAACGGTAACGCTCAAATAAAAATGGATAGGGATATGACAAAAAATCCACTCTGGGCCTCAAAATCCTTTCCCGACATAAATGTAACTCCCTACGAAGTAATACAGCCTCTTCGTCAACAGGATCATCCATAAAAGGACATGCCATTTCATTCCCTTTGATGCGCTCTACGTGACTGAAATGTGTGCAATGAATACTGTATGTCCCCAAAGAATCAATGAGGTGTTTAAACACCACTTCCTGTTTAAAAAAGGGGAGGAGACCAAAATAAACTCTGGATTTTCTGAAGAAAACCTGCTCCCGACCAGGTTAGGTTCACAGAGTAAATTGCCATGGTAACTGACTCTGAGTATAAGTTACCTCTCTTTCAGAAACGGGCTTGACTTACTCTGCTTTCTCAGGTTTAACTTACCTCCCTTTCTGAAACAGAAAACCCAGAGTTTCCCTCATTTCAGGGTTAACAAACTCAGAGTTTTCACTTAACCTCCTTTCTGAAACAGGCCCCAGGAGAGACACATTCCTGGATTTTACACTTGATTTTTGTTGTTTAAATATTAATATATTAATGTAAAAATGGATCAAAGCATCACTATCCCTGTTTTCTATTTACATTTTTATGGTATGTATTTATTTTTATCTACGAGCTGGAAATGTCACCAGATTGGATTTCAGAAATCTAAACACCTTACTATGAGCCTATATGCCTATTTAAATACAATAAATACAAATAAATAAGGCTGCACTTTCAAAAATTAGCTGTCAATAGAGCTGTTCTAAATGAAATTTCTTTTTGTTTACACTTGTGTATACAAAATGACAAAATAAATCATTCTAAGCCTATGTCTAAAGTCTATAAATAGATTGATATTCACTACTTTATTGTCATATACACTTAAGTGTCTCTAGATATGACTGATTTTCCAACTGCTTTCAGACACATGAAACAGTCTCTTCCACATAATGCAGCCACTGCTGTCTAGCAAACCAAGCCAGTTCCACAGAATGTGAGAACGTTTCATTACCACAACGCCATGCGGGAAATTTAAAACAGGAGAATTTTGGCTGTTAGGGCTTGTCTAATCCAATCAGGCTAGGTTGGGTTGCGGGTGCTGGAGCTAAGCCTGTTGGTGCGACTGCCATCAGAGGCGGACGAACAGTCTCCTCACTCCGGCTGCTTTTCGTGAATACAGTACTAGTGTTCATTTTCATTGGTGGTGGTTTAAAAAAAAAAACAAGGTGCGTGTGCCATGTAACTTCCTCGTTTCTGTCGTTAGACTACGTAATCTTTCTATTCTGCTGCCATGAGCGGGACATCTCTGTCCTCAGCGATCACTAGCTTGGTAGACGGTTGCCATGACGTAACCGCCGTGAACTTGTGTTGATTAGGCCTCAAAATAATTGAATTACAACCAAAGGACAATTAATAGTAAAAGACTAAATCACTTCCCAAAATATTCATAAGAAATTTATAACCTGTGCAAAGTTTCTTTGAGACATTTTTTTTAAATCTCCCTCTTGACACTAGGGGATGCTGCAGCAGAACGAATGAAAGTGAACGAACTAGAACAAACAAGAACAAACGAAAGTAAATGAGAAGGAATGACCAAACAAAAAAAAAGACCTAATTGGAATTTTAACTATTTCCATTCCTTTTTCGATTCTGGTTCCAGTCGATTCTCCATTCCTATTTTTTAAAACAAGAAAAATCATAAAATTTTGAATGTTATTAATGAGCTGGTTAACCAGAGTTCTGCCTGGATCAAATGATCTGAACATCTCAATAAGATTGTCATGATCTTGGTGCTGATGACTGGCTTGATTGTTAAGTCCATTCGCTTGCCTAGCTCCTCCCAGTTTCTTATCACCGTTCTTTTGTTTCACCTGCTCCAGTTTCTATTTAACCATCCTGCTTCTAGTCATCAGTGCCAGATTATTTTAGCCTTTGATGAGAGTTTTCTATCGTACTTGATTGTGTTCTGGATGCCTGATCCTGACCCATTCTGCCTTCGGACCTCTGAGCCTGCCTGTTCCTTTTCTGCTCTGTTTGCCAGACCTGACTTCAGGCTCCTGCTGGATTCTGCCTGTTTACGATCCTGGATCTGCTTCCTGACACCGACCTGGATTTTCCTACCGTACCTCTTCCAATCTCTGATCTTCTGGCCCTGACTCCAGTGAACCTCTTCAACACCGGCTCTGGCTTCGTCCTTTTGATTTTCCTGCCTTCTTTCGCCTGATATGACACATGTCTGCATTCTTTGGTGATTTAGGGACCAAAATACGTACTTTTAGTACCATAATTATATGATTTATGATGACCTGGATAAACATCTGCTTGCACATGTGCAAGGTAGTGACTATAAACAATGCTGCTTTCATCCATTTGGAAGGGGGATGTTAACTGTTTCTTCTGTTTTTTTCTGCCTTTCCGCTTGTCATGTTGATCACTGCCCCTCTGTGGTTTTTGCAAGTACTTCCCCTTCATCCCTTCATCTATAAAAGTTCACAGCGCTTCTCAGGGCTCGTGCAACGTGTGCACTGACCGGCGTGACAAGCCAACTTGCAAGTACATTTCAGCCTTAAAGTGCCTTGAGATACTATGTGTTAAGAGTTGATGCTATATAGCCTATAAATAAATGGAACTGAGTTCTTTCACTGTGTGATTGTATTTAGATAGCTGCCAGTTTTTACAATATCGACTGCTGTTATGCATTTATGTTCACATTGTGAAGTTAAAAATATTCTTGCAGATTATAACATATTCCTGTCTCTTCTATTTATTGGGTATTCAGTCAAACTTCAGTTCACATTATCCCAATGCATCCAGATGTAAATAATTAAAAATGCTTGTCTGACTGCGACTGATGTCAAGTTAGATTGGGTCAGGTTGGTTCTTATCACACCTACTGTATACAGACTTATGCAAACTTTCCTAGATTAGGGAATCAATGGTAAAATGAGACAGAAATCATTTGATCTCCTCAAGACTTTGGTGTCTATAAATGATACAGAGTTGGGTCAATGCTCATGTCCTTTGAAGGTCCTCTGTTTTAAAAGTATGCGTTTCTTTTTCAAGTTATTTATAACTCATGTTGATATGACCTGTCTCAGGGGCTCCAGGGAAGAATGCGTCTTCTGGGTGGAAATTATACCTTGTATGGTGGTGGACTGACAGCAGGAGAGGGAGACAGGAAGAAGCAGAACAGAAAATAATAAACAGAATAGAAGAGAAGTTATGTTAAAACATTAAAGTTTGAATTTGAAAAAACAGCAAAAGATAAGACACATCCTGAACAGATCAGAACAGATTTACAATTTCTTCCATTCTACAACAAAATCAACTTAACCTGAAGCATCAGTTTCTTTTTGGTTTATTGTATGAGCCTCAGCTGAAGTGACGATTTGCTGATGGTTGTCTCTATTGCCCTATGTCTGGACTCTTGAATCTCAAGATACTTTGTCCTGCTTCTGCATTACAGGTTCATTGAGCTGGAATTCAGGCTGCAATGCTAATGTTGTCAGAGGCAAAAGAAGAATGTAAATTATTAAACCTGAAAGAGTTAGAATCTATAGTACAGTGTTTAAAAGTATTCACCCCCCTTGAATTTTCCATTTTGTCCATCAACTTTGGCCCTTATGTATGGAAGAAAAACAGTCTCATTGGAATCTGACTTTTTTTTTTACGTCGAATTTTAAACACTGAATTTTTTTAAACATTGAATTCCTTACACTCAATTTTTATCTGGTAAAATTTCACCAGAAAAAAATTTCAGCTGCAAAAAAAATTCAGCTGCAAATGTGTTGAACTTTTGGTGAACTCGTGTCACGTGACCAAATGAGCTGATTTCATTGGCTAGAAGCTGCTTGACTATCGGGTGTAGATTGCTTTGGCTTGAGTTCACCAAAAGGTCAACACTTTTGCAGCTGAATTTTTGCAAGTACATTTTTTGCAGCTGAATTTTTAGGAATTCATGTCTAAAAAAATTCAGTGTTTAAAATTTGGTGTTAAAAAAAAGGGCAGATTCCAATGAGACTGTTTTTCTTCCATACATATGTGATAGACCAATGCCACACCGTACATCATTGGGGGAAAATTAAAGCTTGTCATTCATCTGTTTTATGTATCAAAATCTAAATCTGCTTTTGTTGCAGAAAAAATGCAAGTCTTAAACAATTCTACAAAACATGATTGGTTGAATCACCTTGTAATAGCTACTCTATTACTAATCTGTGCATCTATGTTTTTCAGTTTTTTGGGGAATTTTTTTACTTTCAAAGGTTGCCTATCATGTGCTTGGTCAAAGTTTTTAAACCTATTGCTCAGAATTTCATCCAACTGCAATATGATTTTAAGCGAAATTTCAAAAATAAAAAGAAAATGCAAATTTGGTGTTTTAATTTGGGTTAAACTTAGCTCTCCCAAGCGGATTGTTGTCATACATGGTTGTCCACAGTATGTCGTCACGCATGGTTGTAATAAATAGGAAGTAAAGGCTGCAATCAGAACTGACAAAAGATCGATCACTGATGGAGAAAAGTTTTAATAAATCTGTTATCAGGCAAGTTTTTCTTATGTTAACATGTCAGCTAGTAATGGCGATGTTGCTTCCAGATATTTAAGCACATAAAAGAAACATTTAGGAAGACGCCGACATCAGAAACAGCTGCTCAGTCATGTGAGGCAAAGTTTGCTACGTTAGAGCTGATTTTAAAAGAGTCTCTCCATCTCCGACTTTGCCCATTAACCCTTTTTTGCGAAAGCCAAAAACCACGTCAAGCAAGCATAAAACTTTTTTGCGAAGTTGAGGGAGATTTTTCCAATTTTGCCAAATCCATCAAGCTTTTCTGATTTGATACTTCCAAACGCACTTTAGCAAATGCTGATGGACACCAATTTTCCATTGCTGGACAACACTGGGAGAAGAATTAGTCAGATTATTACTGTTTATTATTTCATATTTATTTATTACTGTACTGCCACCTCTGAGCTCCAATCTGCACACAGAGGGTGTTTTCATTATCGCTGGAGATTTTAACCAGGCTAACTTGAAGACTGTTCTCCCCCATTTCTACCAACATGTGGACTTTGCAAGTCCGGGTGAAAACGCTTTAGACCTGGTTTACTCTAACATTCAAGATACATTCAGAGAAGCCCCCCGTTCCCACCTCGGGTCATCAGATCACCTATCTGTC